CACATTACATGTTACGATTAGGAACCCCGATGCACTTAAAAATACTGTCGACACACTTTGCGTGTATCAAAGCATCTTTGTAGAGCGAATCTTCTATCGTATCGCGCGATACATATTTCAATGCTGCATCTTACGATTTTTATCACATTACGTCATAATTATCTCGCGACGCGATGAATGTGTTCTTACCTGGCAGAAAGAAGAAAACTTTTGACGAAAAAAAAGAACAATTATGAGATTAATATTTTCAGCAATTTCTATTAGTAATCGTAGTAATGTCGACCGCCTTCGAGAATTCAAGTCAAGGTTGAATCTCTCGGCATCTAACTCCCAGCTAAAACGTGACTTTGGCTTACGCGGACGCGCACAAATATTTACGAGCTTTACAACTTGCACTTTATGTAAAACCCGTTCGAGAGAAATCGTATGAGGCATTATGTCGTCGTAACTGCGTATAATGCTAGACTTGGCGGGATTACACTTGACACGTTGAAAGTGACAATATCCATCTATAATGATACGTTATTTCCAAAGAAAACAATGACAAGAACATGAATTCTAAAAATATCTCGCTTCTTCAAAACACCTGCACTTGAATGGTCGAACATCTAATACGCGCAAGATAAGCTTCAAATATGCGTTTACGTAATAATAATGGGAATAATCACAGCCGCACTTAGAGTACTCCGCGCCACTCTTTGATGACTGTTTTACGAGTTATTTAATTGTGGAAGTACACTGATTTTCTCGACATAAACCACGCTGCGTAAACGCCGCGGAATATAACGATAGTTTGCGATTACGATCGTTCGCTTTAACGTACAGAGGTATATCGCGCGATTAAGATATTCACGCGATCGTTAAGACAATATAACAATTATTATCGGCGCGGCGAACGTATCGCGATTTATATTTACACACCGCGGGAACTTACTCCCCGCATTAACGTGATTTATTTATGTTGAACGTTATTATCGATCTAGTGCCTCAATCTCTCATTTCTAATTGCATCGCATCGTTTTCACTGTCGGTATAAAATACTCATGTTCTCGAGAAGAAACTTTGAATTTTATTTCAAAGATATTAGCAGATTTGGATTATTACCTATATACTGCTAATTTCATAATATAAATTGAGAAAGTTTTTACATGCGCCAATTGCTAAAAATGCATAAGGTCGATTTGACGCATGCAGTCCGACACGTACTAAATTTTCACCAGCATTCTTATCAAAGTAGCATATCTAAATAGGCAATCCGTCTCTTTCCAGCAATGCGCGCTAAGTCTATATTTCCCCGTCACAAATATAATCGCGCCAGAGTTTCTCGCCATGTTTGAAATCGTCGCCGCGGCGGCTACGTCCTTCGGACAGGGTGTGTTTACGAAAGCGATTTATCGAGTGGAATTCACGGAAATCAGATTAACCTTTCGCGACCCGATGCGGTATTTTTCAGATTGACGCTAAACGGTTTTCTCTCAACAATTAAATCTTTACCTTCGCGGCTACGTAACAAAAACGGCAAATACGTAAGATAAACATTCAAGTTGCACCTACGCGACCGGAGTAAGATTTCGGCCGGAAAAGATCAGTCCCATTCGTCGCGCGGCAATTCAGACTAGCGCGGTTGTTTCTTGTTTCCGTCATCGACCTTCCTCCGTTGTCATTCGCCCTCGGCTGGAGCCTAGAGCCCGCTGCCGCAGGCCGCGCGGGACGCACTCACTCACGATTGCCAGCGTTGTATTTCTCGGTCACAAAGAGCACGATCACGAGAGTCCTCGGCCGACGACGCTCACCTTGACCAGGCTGCGCGCCTCGATCGGTGTGGAGTCGCGCCGCGGCGAGACCGTGCGATCGGTCCCAACGGGTTTTCATTGTCGATCCGCTCCAAATAAATCTCCAAATACGTCTCTTATCGATACGTTTTGGTAAAAGCGTCACGCGTGATTTTCCCATCTTCCGAAAAGGAAGAACGAGTTGTGATTGCAGTTTGTTTCGCAATAAGTGCGCTTGGGAACCGATTTTTGACGAGACCGAAACATCGAGAACAAATCACGTGTAATATTCGAGGTGAACTGCGCGATAGAAAAAATCTTCAATGATAAAAGTAGACGACAGGACACTTTCTTTTTATAAGTGAAATTTGAACGAAAGTTTTAATTCAGAGATTAGTACTTGGAAGAAATTTAAAGTTGAATATTAAAAAGTTAGTAGGATAGTCGCGGCATCGTATCGAATTCCCGCTGAGAAAAAGTCAATTCCGGGACTGGTCGATGAATCCGGTGAGTAACGGAAGGTACGGAGAGTCCGGCGCGCGTCGTACGTTATCTTACCGCTGAATTACTCCGCCATGAATCGAAGGACGAAACGACAATCGGATTATTTCCCTTCAGATTGATTTCAATGCGGATCCGTGAGAAAGTTATAGCGCAGACTCTCGGAGGTGGTCGGAGGGTAGCTTGAAAACTTATCGCTTCACGCGTTTCGTCACTTCGCTCGCCGCGATAATTCGGGGACCGATTAGATGACCCAAACGACGCGATAGATATTACATGATTGTGCCTTGCGTATCATCACGTAACTCTCTTCTTTCCCCTCCCTGTGCCTTCTTCTCACTCGAGAGAAAAGAAACGCTTTATATAAACTGCAATGCTCTCGTCATAAAAATTTGATTGCAATTTGTACGTTGCTTCGGAACAAATGGTGAGATCAAACAAATGGTCCGTATTGCGTTAATAACAATTGCCGGAACGTTTAATTATCGAAAAGTGCAGCTCGCAGTCATGTTGGTAACAAATTAATTTAATTTTATATATTTGGGATAATTAAAAGGATAATTAAAAGATACGGATCAATAATAAGCGACGATCAATGTATAACTATCGTTACCGCAAACGATGTTGTGTAAATGTAAATAATTAATATAACCATAAATGCTGACACGATGATACGGGATAATGCTATTACAGTTTAATTGCGAAGCTCTTTTTGTCTTATTTATTATTTATCATATACTGTATCAAATCTTTCAAAAGATTTCTCGTATTATATACATGCTCAATGTTATATTACAATAATATATTGTATAAATACGTCTGAATAATTTTCAGCATTCAACATGCCGATGCACTCTTCCAGAACTTTTTGCGCTTTCTTTATCTACAAATATTTAATTAGTGATGCATACCTGTGCAATAAACTACACCTCTAACAATACTGTGTTTCATCCTTCTTTAAATCACCCGCGTGTTCGTCGGCATATTTAATCATCAACTTCCGTCTAATTTATATTGCAATGATCACAATTACATGTGTGAGAGAAAAATTGTGCTCAATCTACGATTATTTGTCTCTGTCTCTTGGTCTGTGTGTATTTGTGTGGTTTTCCTTTTTAAAATTATTCTACCATTAGAGCGCGATACGCGTTCGGCTAAATTTATTAAGTGATTTATGCAATCAACGCTGCCACTTTCTTTGCATTTCCTCCATATCGATATCCGTAACGAGAATGTTTTGGTCCAGAGCATTAATTAAATTTTCCGTCTTTCATAGTACCGTGTTCCATAATAAAGAGATTTAATCATTCAAGATCCAATTTTATGATTAGTTCCTGAGCGCGAAGCAAACTATCATAACAGAATTATTTAATAATTACTAGTTTCGCGTTTATCTCGAATTGGTTTCTGATTTTTACGGTTTTTTTTATTACCCTCCACAGGATCTCAGATTATCGAATACGATTGTCTTGCCGCGCGTTTTCTCGCTTAACACATTCCATCCGATTCATAGCTTTTGCTACATCATTTTGCCCGGTGCCGGTGCTCACGAGAGGGATTTGTAGTATAGTAAGTGCGTCTCTCTTTCTCCCTCTTTTTCCCCCTTACACGCTTTCGCTTGTTTTCGCCTCGTGCAGTAGCTACGGACACGCGACTTTTCCCTCTCTGTCTGTCATTGCGCAAGGAGTTTCATGTACTAGACGTTGGCCGACGGATAGCAATACTCTCTTATCCCCCTTGATACTTCTGGGTCACCCTATGCACCTCGTTCTTCTCTCTCTCTCTCTCTCTCTCTCTCTCTCTCGTTTTTCTCTTTCTCCCTCTCTTCCCTTTCGGTCTCCCAACATTAAACACGTCTCGTTCAATCGAGCTTCGAGTTTAACCGCAGACATACACGAGCGATACACGAGTTTCGCACGGGACACGTGTCTAACTAACGTTGTTAATCGCAGTCAGAAGAACACTTCTACCACAAGCAGTCGTCGACACGTTATAGTTCGCTCCTGTAACTGTCCCGGTATGCATACGTGCACACGCGAGCATGTAGGAGGCAGGGGAGGGGACGAGAGATGAGTGAGAGCGATAGAAAGAGTATTCGGATGAAAGATACGGAGAAAAGAGCAGAAATTGTGTGAAACCGAAGCAGTTTTAATGAATTTTATTTCTCCAGATCGTTGCAGCGATATTTCGCTATCACGTGACTATTGTCGCGCACGAAGGTAGAAATAAAAAGTGTCGCGTTTATCCACGTCACCATCGGATGAGTGAGAAACGATCATCGAAATTACTCCGGAGTTCGAATAGGTCTTCGGGGAGGCGGAGAGACGGACGGCGCGGCGTCGAACGCGCGAGAGGAAAATGAGAAGGGATGTCGGCGGGAAAATTCGAAACCGCGAGTATACGGTGCGGTGCGGCGCACGCGATGACGTCGCGTTTTGCCAAAACGTGGACGCACAGGTGGCTACCGGCGTCTGTCGCAGACATGAGGGATAAAGTTCGCGGATGGGCAACGGACGAGACGAGCGAGGGAGAGGAGGGTGGATGCCGCTAGAACACGATACAAAGCCGGACGCGCGCTATCCGCGCTCGCCGGCGAATCCGTCGTCGCGGATGCGTGCCGGCTGCGCTTTTTACCAAGATACGCATCTGCGCGTGTCTGCGTATGTGTACATGTTTACGTGTGTGGGCACGTGTATACGCGTGCATACGTGTGCGTATGGTACTTACCGGAATTGTAATATTCCTTAAAGTAGCGCGTCGCCGCACGCTGGACGATCGAATAATACAAGTTCACGTACGACGTCGACTGGTTCTGCGCCGAGAGCGCCATTTACACTGTATTATCTCCGCGCGCGGGTCACCGTGTATGCATATAAATATGTAATATGGTGCGCGTGTATGTTTCACGCGCGCGTACGCAGATCACGACGCGCGTGTGGCGCGATATAGTAAAGCGCGGCACGGCAACGTGCGAGCGCGCGGCGCGGCGCGGCGCGGCGCCCGGTCTCGTCGGCTTGCTTCTGCCCTTGCTACGTCTGTCGCGCGGCGACGATCCGTCCTCCGCCTCCTCTTCCTCCTGCTACGACGCCTTTTTTTCTTCTTTCTTCTGCTGCCGTTCCTGATGTTTCGCCTCCTGCTTTATCTCCTCCTTGCCGTCTTGTCGTCCTCGTCCTCGTCGTCGTCGTCGTCGTCGTCGTCGTCGTCGTCGGCAGTTTCTTCCTCTAGACCCGCGGCCGTGAAACTTTTCTTATCGTTGGCGCGCCGTCCTACGTGCGTTCTTGTACGGCCTTCAGACAGCAGCGAGACGGTCTCGCATGCCGGGAAACGGCCCGCGACTTTAATCCTCGCCACACTCGCTTTCGGGTTACCCGCGCCGGCAGACACAATCTCGGTAGACTCGGCCTGAGCCCCCCCGAGTAACTCGCCAAGACCGAGACACTGGCGAGCGCTCTGCGGTGTTGCCACGCTTCCGTCGTCGCGGTGCACGCGCGACCAGAGTGGGGATTTCTGGACTGGTTCGGGTTTGGGATGGTAGAGAACATCGGGTGAGGACGCGAGAGCGGAGAAGGTGCCGTGGAACGAGTCGCGGTGGGGTGGTGGTGGCGGCGTCGGCGGTGGTAGCGGCGACGGCGGCGGCGGCGGCAGCAGCGACGGCTGCAGGGGCGAATGCATCCGCGAGGGTAACATTGCGTCATTTCCCGCTCGTGACTCGCGACTTGCGACTCCAAGTCAGCCCAAACTGTAGATGTGAAGAGGGAAAGTAGAGGGCTGAAGACACAGCTGAGTTGAAATTGAAGTTTAAGTTTCAAGAAGAGTTGAAATCTATTGCGATGTAACACGTGACATATGTCACTGTCACGATTAGACCGAATGTTGAACTATTTAGGGATCTTGCGATACTCTTGTTTTAAACTTATCGGCGCAATATGATATAATTCGTTAGTATGTTAATTTAGCTTCTTGTTCTTCCAGAAAGTATCTTATGTCAATTTGATCGGATTATCCTGATTATATCTCTGTAGATTGATCCTTATACATCGTTTTGAGAGAAATAAGAATGATGTGACAGCCTCAGAGACTATTAGAATTCGGATTTACTCCATGGTTAAGTAAGGAGTAGTTCGACTCGACTCTTGTTCCAAGGAGGATAATTGTTCGACGATAATTGATTGCTGATCATCTTCAGCGAAAGGCTACACGTTTTCTATAAAAATTGTTCAGTGTCTCGTGATAAACAACTAGTATTGTCTCGCGATCCATTATTCGAATTTGTCATTTCAAACACGATCGAGTGTCAATCGATATCAATATTATTAACATTTTGATCTTTTAACTTAAAAAACTAGTCGAATCTTATCATCCTGATTGTCCGCGAAATCGGTAAAAGAACCGCGGGCAGCTGAGATTCAGCGTTCGCTCCTGACGCCAGGAGGTTGGTGGTGATGGTGGCGGTGGCGGCGGCAGCGGGAGCGATCAGTGGTGGTGGAGAACGAGACGACCGGCGAGGACCGACGGCAGGAAGGGGAGAGCCGAGAGGAGGCGAAGCGAGGAAGTTATATTCGTTGAACCCGTGGAAGGGGTTTGATACCGCGCCGTCGGGGAACGACGGTCCACGCGGTGGGGCAGCCTTTCGGTGTAGGGGAACGACCGAGTGGCGGGGAAACGTTCCGATCGCTTTTCCTCTCTCTCTTCCTTTCTCTCGGGCCATCGCGCGTACCTCCTCCTGTCCACCCCCCTCGACCCTCCGTTCTTCCCTACCTCTCCGCGCGATCCTCTCACCCCCCGGCGAGCTGACGCGTACCCCTCAATGCGCGCTGCGCCGTGATGCATCGCGCTGGCGGCGGCATCGCCTCTGCGAGTCACAAGGTATGCTCGTGCCGCGAATACGAACTGCCTCTCCCAAATCAATATCACTCGTCGAAAAAAAGGGGGAAAAAGAAAGAAAGGGAAAAAAACGAATCGCCACCTATAATTGCCGAACTTCCGCGATAACCGTCTCCGCTTTCTGTCCCCGGTCTTACCGCCGATCGTCGGCGAGAGGCGAGAGAGCACCGCCGCCGTCGTCTTCTGCTTCCCTCCCTCCCCCTGCCCCTGCGTCTCTCCGCCGGCTCCTCCACCACTTCCTCCACCTCGCGCGTTCCCACCCCGTTTCTCGCGTGGGGTTAGGTTCACGCGCCAGGTTGATTAGGGCCTCCCTCCGCGACGGCCTGCCGCGCGCTATCACGCACGTTTCCCGCCATCCAATGTCCGCGCACGATGATTTTCACTGACTATGCCCGCAACCTCGCAGCCACGTGCTCGCTCTCGCGACGCCGCGCCGCACCGCGCCGCGCCACGAAAACAAAGGGGGCCGATGCGCCCCACGAGAGCGGACTAGTCGCATGCTAAGGGATAGTTGTCTCGTCGTCGATGGATGCTGGATGCGACGTCTGGTACAACGCGAGCATGCCTACGCAAGCGTATGTATACGCGATACATGTGACGCTCGACTCGACTCGACTCGTCGCGGTCGTATATGTGTTGGCATGCAGAAGCATGCGGACTCGGGCCGCGTGCACAGCGACGAGCGATAAGCCATAGGCTGTAGTGGAGCGGACGCTCTCGCTTAAAACTCTGTCTCGATAATGCATCTCTCTCTCTCTCTTTCTCTCTATTGATATCGCGATTTACTACAACGCGATTTACAATACGACGTTAATCTCTATCGCTCCTCTTTTATAAACGATGCCTATGGTAAGCTGTATGGCACACAGGTGCAAAATGAATTTTCGTCTCTTGCCAATTTTATTCAAGCCGAAGGAAAAAAAATTTTAGACAAATCACAGATTGATGAATACTCAATGTTGACGGAAGAAGGACCCGATTATATGTCCTTACGTAAGCTTCGTAAGATTCGAGGCATCGACGATATCTCAAGCTCGTCGAACGGTTGTTCTCGCGAAGCTGGAAGAAGCATGGAGATTCATGAGCAAGTCGACGATACTTTACAATGCATCGTTGTAGTGACCCGATTACAACTTATCGCCTGCTGTAATGCGCCACGAGATAACCGCTCGAACCGAATGAACTATAAGCTATGGGATCGCGAAGGATTGGATCACGCCTCGCTGCGAATTTCTAGAAATAATTTCGACTGTATCAATTGCATCGTCCATTTAGATTTTATATATTAAATTCTCGTGAGAAATATTATGTAATGCTATGCTATCGCAAGATCTATTTTACAGATGCAACAAAAATTTGGAGATCAGTGAAAAAAGCTTTTCTTTCCATTTTTCTTTCGATAATGTTTTTCATAACGTATATTTTATTTCATTGCCGAATTCTTATTTACGTAATAAAGCAAAATATATATAAATATAAACATATATATATATATATATATAATATTAATCAACATGTATACATATTATATAACATAACATGTATAAACATGTATGTATATTAATTTTATTTTTGACGTCGATTACAGGTTATTCAAAAACACACCTAACTTGCCTCACTTTGGGCCCGAAAGGGTGTGGTTCTATTCAGTGAAAAAAAAGGAGGGAAAAAAACATCACGAAGCGCAGGGATCGTTATCGCCAAGTTCTCGGCCATGAACGAAGAACGGATTTAACGATCGTTTTGCGCGACGCGGCAAGGCGCGGAAAGAGAGCCGCGGAAGAGGAATGCCGCGGCGCGCCGGCGACTTCTCGCCGGCGTGTATACTGTATAGTAGTAGTCCCGTCCCAAAAGCGAGCGACGAGCGAGGAGCGAGAAAAGCAAAAGTACGCGTTAGGGCTGGTGCAGTCGCGCGGTCCGCGGCCGCCTATATTTATCCGACGATGCAATATTTGGCCGCGTCTTCGAGAAAGAGAGTGGACGAAGGAGAGAAAGAGAGGGAAGAACTCGGAGCCGACCACATTCGTCCACAACTCGCAGCGCACGGATGGGCGCATGAACGAACTCGCAGCAGCGGCGGGCAGCAGCTTGCGCGCCTCTCTCTCTGTCTCTCTTCTTCTCTGTCTCTCTCGCCCGGTCTCTTTCTCTCTCTCTTTTGTCTCCTCTCTCTCTCTCTCTTCTTCTCTCTCCCCGATTTCTTCTTTCTTTCTCTCTCTCTCTCCCTGCCTCCGTTTCCTTCTTCTGCTTTATCACAATGAGCGGCTGCGTGTGCGTGTCGGTGTCGTTAGGCAGTAGCTGCCGGTGCAGGCGTGGTTGGTTCCTTGCCCTCTGTCGCGTATTTATATCTAGCGAGTAGAGCGAATGCATTGCGGCTCGCTTCTTGTTTGCCGGGACCACTCCTCTCTTTCTTTCTCTCGCTCTCGTGCTCCTCTTCCCTCGTTCTCGCTCTTTCGCGCTCCCTCTCTCTCTTTCCCCCTCTCCCTCTCTTTCTCTCTCTCTCTTTCTTCCTCTCTTCCGCCTCTCGTATCGCGGCCCCGCCAAACCTGCTCCGTGCAACGTTAACGCCTAGCGCCGGCTAATCACCGGGATATGCGGATTTTTCTCGCCGATCTACTGCCGCGCGGACTTGCTCTGATGATTTCTGGTTCCAACACGGCATGCGAAATCTTCCGGAAAACGTCGGCTTATAACTCGTTGACGAGCGAGCATATGAGCGTACGAGCTCTCGGCAGCGCTACTTCACGAGAGCGCTCTAAGATGAAGGAGCACCGTAACGACAATTTACCGGAGATCATTTGCTTCCGCGAGAAATTAGATCGAACGGGTAAACGAAACGAGAACGCACAGAATCGGGCAAATAATGGTCGGTAGATTGCGGTTTGGTCCGGCGCAATATCCTCCACGCGCATCGCCACGTCGTGTGCGTTTTTTTCCCTTGCCTTACCCTCCGCCCTAACTCCCCTTCTCCCGCGCTCTTGGGCCCCTATCTGCCCGGTCACCCCGTTAAATCCGGTCTAGAAATATCGCGTTAACGTCGACGTTAGCGGATCCCAGATAATAGTAATTTC